AATTTATAGGCAGTTAAGGTAGGTCCAGAGAGAGAGAAATTAACCTCTTCCTTCGCTCTCCTGTCACCAGTCCCAATCCTTTCCATCCTTCAGGTTCCAGCTCACAACCAGTTTCTTCCCCCATTTTCCATCCCTCGAAGCTGCAAAGGGACATCACAGCTCTTGCTTACTGGGCTTGATAAGTTTAGATGCGTCAACCAACTTATCCCACATCCCCTCTCCCCATCTCAATTGCCTGCAGCTCCGGGTTCTCTATCCACATTCTCATCCCCTCCCACATCTGACACATCAGCCATACTATCAGTCAGCTCCATCCTCAAAGTCTATCCTCAATCTACTCACATCTCCCTCCTCCTCCTCTATCCACCTGGGTCCAGCCCCGACGATGGCTCACCTGGTCCCCCAGCTATCTTCCCGGACCCATCTGTCCTCCCCTAGCAGCCACCAGAGGGCGCCCGTGAGCACCTGAGTTGGTCTATTTCTTGAGCGTAATGTTCTCAAGGTTCATCCATTTTTGTAGCATGTACCAGAACTTCCTATTTATGGCTCAGTAATATTCTGTTGTATTGATGGGACATGATTTATTTCTGTTCATCTTCTAATACATGCCCTGCCCTGGGTATTGAAGGCACAGTGGCCCCTTTAGGATGCTCACAGTCCAGTAGGGGGATCGAGGTTACAATGGGGAACACGGCAGGTGCTTGTGGGACCCACAGGAGGGATCCATCCAGCCAGGAGGGGAGAAGGGAAGACCTCCTGGAGGGGTGAAGTTTGCATTTAGACTAGAATTGGAGCAAACTAGGAAGGGAGATGGGGTGGAGGGGAGAGTGTACCTGGCAGAGGGACCAGCATGAGCAAATGCCTGGCAGTGAGTCTGAGCTTCAGAGGAACCACATATTGCAGGGTCTGCCGGAGGGCAGAGGAGTTAGTGAACAGGCTGGCCAGGCTGGATCCGCAGGTGTGGCAGTTTGCACGCAGGTGTTCCCTAGACGCTAATAAGGCCAGATTCAACCCCCTCCCCCCAGTTCTCCACCTCTGACAACGACTTCTCCGGTCCCCACAGATTGACCTTGTGCGGTGCGGGGTGACCCCCACTGCCCCGGCCCGCCCTGGGAAAGTGCACCAGCTGTGGGAGGACTGGAACCTGAGTGCCCCACAGAATGGCCGCCGCCGCAGCCAGGTACAACGGTGGGATCGTATGGAGTGGTTCTGGATCCGCCCAGGGCTGCCAGGGGCCAGTCTCGAGCTGTGTCTAACCAACTGGTGAGGTCACCTGGTTGGAGTGTCCATGGGGGAAACAGAGGTAGGGAGATAGTCCCATTGTGTCCATGAGGAAACTGAGTCAGGGTGACAATACCATTGTGTCCATGGGGAAACTGAGGCAGGGCTGTGGTCTCAGCATGTGTCCATCTGGGACACTGAGGCCCCGTCCCTTCCACCCTCCCTGCAGGCAGAGCTGGAAACGCTGGTGCTGTCCAGAAGTCTGATGCAGGAGCTACAGAGCTCAGTGGACGCACTGGAGACCAGCGTGCGGGGCTTGCCCCGGGGCGCCCAGGAGAAGGTGGCTGAGGTGCGGCGCAGCGCGGATGCTCTGCAGGCCGCCTTTGCCGATGCGCGCTGCTTCGGGGACGTGCCCGCGGCGGCATTGGCTGAAGGACGGGGCAGAGTGGCTCGGGCCCACGCCTGTGTGGATGAGCTGCTAGAGCTGGTGGTTCAGGCCGTGCCGCTGCCCTGGCTTGTGGGGCCCTTCTCGCCCATTCTCCTAGAGCGGTCAGAGCCCCCACCCGACCTAGAGAACCTAGTGGATGAGGTCGTGGGAGGCCCTGATCCCCGCTGGGCACACCTGGACTGGCCGGCCCAGCAAAGAGCCTGGCAGGCCCAGCACCGGGACAGGACAGGTTTCCCGGAGGACATTCCAGAGGAGGAGCCTGAGCCCCCCAGCCGTCCCAAGCACACCCTGATGCCAGAACTGGACTTTTGACCTGATGCAGCCAGAGGCAGCGGGAGGCTGCCTACACCTCCAGATCCTGCTGCCCCCTAGTGGTCATGATGAAGCACTAACACCGAATGCCTTAACCTTGGCCTAGGCACAGATTTGGAGGTTCCAGCGGAATTCTGAAACTAGGCCAGCTTCACTGATATCAGATCCTCCCCAATATTTCCCTTGGACATGTGGGGACATGAGCCTAACTCAGGTCTGACTAGTCCTCAGCCGGGTTCATCTGTCTGCGGTCACCTGTTCCCTCACCCCAAAAAGCTGGTCAAATCTCCTCAGAGAAACATTTTGCCCAATGGCTTCTATTTGGGGCTTTGAAAAGTGACACTCCCCTGCTCCCCCAGCCTGCACATCCTGGACTGAGAGGTCCCCAAAGATGCCAGGGTACACCAGCTGGGCCTGCTAGACCCACTTGCTTTGCTGTTTGGGGTATGCTCTCCAGAATAAAGGTGCTTCATGTTGTCCAAAGGCCCACGGCCTCTTCTGGCTTGGAGGAGTCTCAGTTGCAGGGTGCGAGGGGCCTCAGGGATGTGTGACCACATGGCACAAGCCAAGGTTCAAGATCTGAAAGTAGTGATGCCCCCCCGCCCCCACCAGCTTGACATCCTATCTGCAGCTCCACCTTTGGTGCCCAGCCCACCTGGGTTAAGCGTTGCCCCTTCAGATGTGCTTCCCATAGTGAATGTTCACCCTTCAGTATAAGCGAATGCCTTGGAAACTATAGGGAGCAGGATCTGAGAAGAAAGAAGCTATATGGGTCAGCCCCTCCTACACCCACCCCCCTGGACCCCCAGGAGCTGGTCTTGCTGTGGTTTCTGCATGGGCCGGGATTGTGCAGACAGAAATAGAGCACGGGCCACAGGGCAGTCTCATGGGGGCCCTCCCATGCTCTGACTACATACTTGGCTGCCCCTCAGAGGCCCTGGTGGCCAGGCAGGGTGTTGGGAAACCACAGTCTGATTCGATGAGGTCAGGGTGGCCCCTGGCTTCCCTGGGACTCAGCCCTGACCACTTCCCACTGGCCAGACTCAATTCTCTGCCCCTGTTCAGGAACCTCCCGGGCCCCCTGTCAGCCTGGGGTTGGGTCCCAGCCTTGCTGTGGGAAGGCAAGCGATGTCCCCTCTCTGAACCCATTTTTCTCCCCTGCAAAATGAGTAAGTCGTGCCCAATCCTAGTAAACACCTCACCCACAGAAGCTATTAGTCACTCATTTGTTCATTCAACAAATATTTAAAGAGCACCTGCTGTGTGCAAGGCACTTCTCTGCCTTGGGGACATGGCAGAGAACAAAATGGATAAAAATCCCACCCTCTATGACCTGACAATACAGTAGGAGACAGGCAATAAACAAGAAATATAAGTAAATTACTTTTCTTAGTATTAGAATGATGAGAAAAATAAAAGGGAAGGACAATGGGAATTGTGTGGGGGTTCAAGATACATATTTTTAAATAGGAGGTGACATAAAGAGCAAAGACTGAAGAACATTTCAGGCAGGGGCACAGCCTATGTAAAGGCCCTGGGGCAGGGCCTTGCCTGGCCTGTTGGAGAGTAAAGAGGCCTATGTCGCTGGAGCAGAGTGAGGGGGAGAGAGGGAGTAGATGAGGTCAGGAGCTGGTCATCAAGGCCTATGGGCCACGGGAAGAACTTGGGCCTTTACCCCAAGGGAGGTGGAAGCCCTGGAGGGCTGTGGGTTGGAAGGGGACAAGACCTGACTTGGTGTTCACAATCATTTTTATTATTGTTGCTGGGTTCCCCTTTCCCTCAGTGTGCTGTGGCTGCCCTGAGGGGAGGAGCACCCCCAGGCCCCCCCCCATCCCAATGTCACCTTTAGGAAGTGTTGGCTGGAGAGAGATTTAGGGATTTCCCCTTTGGTTCCTTAACTGTTTGGCAAACAGTGAAGGCTCCAAGGAGACAACCCCGGGGTCATTAGACCCAGAGACAGGACCCTCCCTTCTCCCAGCTCAGAGCCCAGAGCCACCAGCTGGGCCTTTCCCCAGCTGCCATGGGCACATGGCTGGGATCCCTGCTTCAGGGCCTGGCAGGAGGGAAACCACCCAGGGAGGGCATGGCAGCCACGTCTCTGGTCACCTGTGCACCTTTCCACAGACAGGTCGCTCTCCACACAGGCTCAGGGTTTGGATCCGAATCCTCTTTCTGCCATTTCCTGGCTCTGTGGCCTCAGGCACAAAAGTCCTCCTCCAGGAAGCTGCCTTGGATGGGCTTGAGCCTACCAGGCCTGGTTCTCATTCTTAGGCTGCCCCCGCTCTGTCAGTGCTCTGTCTTCCTTTACATTTTGGCTCCTTTCTCACGGGAAGTCCCTTCCCAAGAGCGATGTGTCCCCTCCCTGCTGAGGACAGACGCTGCTTCTCTCTGCCTGGACAATGCTAAGCTAATGCCTGTTGAGCACCTGCTGAGTACCAGGCACAGGGATAAACAGGTCACATGTGTGACTTATTTCACACTCACAACCACCCTGTTGGTCCATTTAACTAAACATTTATTAAGTGCCAACTGTGTGCCAGATACTGTTCTACTGCAGGGAACACAGGACAGAGGGAGTGTGTGGGTGCCTGGAGAAGTGTGTAGTAGGCAGAGGGGAAAGCCCACGCAAAGGCCCTGAGGCAGGACCATGCCTGGGGATTTGGAGGAACAATGAGAAGGCCCCTGTGGCTGGGGTGATCAAGGGGGAGAGGGCCAAGGAAAAGAGAATATTGTGGGCCACAGTGAGAAGTCTGAAGGGGAACCTGAGGCCAAGGCATCCCAGTAGAGCTGAGATTTGAACCATGCCCATCTTACGGGTTAAAATAGGCCAGGAGGGCATACAGGCCATGTCTCAGGGACACAGGATGGCCTGTGACTCACTCAGCTTGGTGGGGGCGGTGCTGTGGGCAGATGTGGCCCAATACTGAGAGAAGGGGAAAGGTGCAGGCCCAGGGCCCATGCTGGGCCGGGCAGGCGGGCATGTGACTGCCCAGGGCCCGCCCCCCAGCCCGCTGGCCGCCTGCCTCTGCAGGCCAGGCCTGCGCCTGCCCCAGACCCTATAAGGCCTGGGAGCTGAAAGCAGAGCCAGCTGCCAGCTGCACCACCCGTCACTCCGAAGGACCCTCACACAGTCCAGGTGAGCAATGTCAGAGTGAGGCCAGGGCTCCAGGTGGGCGTCTGGGAATGTCTGGGGGTATGGGTATGGGGCAGGAGGCCGGGAACCGCCACTTACAAACCCTCTCTGCCCCCTTCCAGCTGCTTAGAGTATTAACATGTCTGCTCAAGGGGAAGGAGGCCGGGAGCCCAAACCCAAGGGCAAGGTAAGGGGAGGTCCGGAACAGGGAGGTCCCTGCTCAGGCCTGGAATCCCCCGGAACCTTGGGAAGGTGACCTCCACAGCCCTGGGGTCTGAGAGGAGCTTTCTGGGTGGGATGGGAGGGCTCTGAGACCCACCGTGCTAACTGTCCTCTCCTATCCCTAGCGGAGGGTAAGGGTGGCTCACACAGACCTTGGCTCCTTTCCTACTGTGTGACTGTGGGCGGGCCACAGCCCCTCTCTGAGCCTCCACTTCCCCATCTGTGATGTGGGGGCCATGGAGGGGGCGCGCTTTTGGAGACTAGGCAAACCTTTCCTCCATCCCTGCGAGGCCAGCTGCATCTGCCCATTTTCCAGATGAAGAAACTGAGGCTTGAAACTCAAGGTCACTCACAAGCGGGAGCCTGAGGTGGTGCGGGAGCCCAGGGCTGTCCGGTGCTTCCCCCTGCCCCGCCCCACCACAGCCCAGCCCTGCTTATGCTGCCCCTCCCCACACAGACCCTGAGCAGCTTCTTGGGGTTCCTGCCTGGCTTCAGTTCTGCTCGGAACCCAGCGAGAGAGGTCCAGCCAGTCGCTGATCCTGCATGCGCTCCTACCCCCCAGGCCCAGGGTGAGTACACAAGTTCATAGGATGGGGGATCTGGAGGGGAACCCCAACAATGGGAAATCTATTAGGGACTCCTGGCCACTTTGGGGACATTTTATATGTGACTGGCGATACTCATTTAGCACCAGATGGGGAAACTGAGGCATAAATATGGCAGGTGTGTGACCAAAGTGGCATAAGCAGCAAAAGTGGAGGTACAAACACAGCCTGTCCCCCTGCAGTACCCCCCGTGCCCCCCTCCCCCGCATCATCCAGTTTGCAGTGCCTGTGAACCAGACACTGGGTGTTCTACAGGTATGAACTTACCAGGGATGGCTTTCCTGGTTCCCAGAGGGAGAGTGGCTTCCCTGGGGTGGTAGAGTCTGGGGGTCTCCCCACCCTCATTCTTCAGCCAGGGTACTCAGGGCACACTGGGGGGCTGGTGCAGGGGGGCCAGGGTTGGGGTGGCTGCCTGGGTTGGGCCTCCCTCTGGGCGCCAGAGCCCTTGCTAGCTGACTTCTGCTCCACATACCCATGTCTGACAGGCAACTGCCAGCTGTAGCAGGGGTGGGGTGGGGCTGACTCCTCTTCTTGCGGCCTCCCTGGGTGGGCCTCCAGCACCCAGACTGAGAATACGCCAGGGAGCCCCTGCTCCAGGAAACAGAGACCCTGGGTGGGGGGTCGAAGGGAACCCAGCCCATGGCCATGGATGTCAACTCCTGCTGTGCCTGGCGGAGTGGCTGGGACATTCCTGACCTTTCCGGCTGTGCCTGTCAATTGCGCAATGGGCACCAGGGTGGCTGATGCCAGCTCGCTTCCCTCGCCTTGCCGGGGGTGCCTGACCAGCTCCTGTCCTCGTAGCAGCTACCGACCTGAAGCAGATGGCAAGGGAGGTGGAGAAGATGCCGCCGCCTTCAGACAAGGTGAGAGGGGCTATCAGAGCCTGGTATGACAGCCTCTGCCTCCCTCAGGGGTGTTTTTTTCCTGCCTAAGGAGAGAGCAGACACCTGTGTGTCCTACCATGGGATTCCAGACATACTCTTCCCCTCTGAGCCTCCATTCCCACATCTGTGAAATGGGTACAGTACTGCCTCACTGTCCAGCATGGTCAGACTCCAAACAGCTGAGAGCCTCTCACTCTGTCTAGCTTCATGTGACCCAAACAACAGCAACTCACTCACCACATGTTGGGCTCTGAGCACCATGCTTTACATGTGCCCCTTAATGACTAATCCTCCCAACCAGCCTGTGAGGGAATAAATAATACCCTACACGATACCTGAGGCACAGAGAAGCTGAGCCACCTGCCAAAGGTCACACAGCAGGATGTGGCAGCTTGCTATCTGAACCCAGGGCAGCCAAAGGCTATAATGGACCCATGCTGCATCCACCCTCTGTCCCGAATATAGATGGGAACTGACCATGTTATCCTGTCCCCAAGTCTGGGCCAGGCCAAGGGGCTGGCGTAAGCCAGCTGAGGCCACAGCAAGGGGGCAGAGGCCTGATAGGAACTCCTCTCCCAGCACATGCCCCCACTCTGGTCTTCCAAGTCTCCCTCTGCCCTCAGCTCAACCAGATCTTAGCATTTCACGGGGCGAAGAACCTCAGCAGGTCCTTCCAGCCCAAATGAAAACAGACCCTTACCTCCTCTCCATTTATGCACGCCTTCTCTGCTCCTCCGCACTCGTGTTAACTGAGCACCTACTATCTGCAAAGTGCTTTAGGTACCTTGTGACTTGCTTCCTCCCCAAGGCCTTGAGGGAGGTGCTGTTTTAACCATCATTTTTCAGAAACCGGCTCAGAGTAGGGATGTGGCTTTCACACAGTGAGGGGAGAGAAGAGTTGAGATTTGAACCTGGATCTCTGCAGGCACAGAGCCCAAGGTTCCCACTTAATTCAATGCTGGGCAGGAGGCAGGTAGTGAGGATGAAACTCCAGAGCTTCTCCGCATCAGCACTGTGGCCATTTGGGCAGGACCACTCTTGGTTGTGAGGCTGCCCTGGGCACGGTGGGGTGCTGCACAGGATCCCAGGCCCCCACCCATTCAATGCAATTAGCGCCTTCTCCCAACAGTCAGAACCACCACAGATGTCCCCAGATATCGCCCAGTGGGGGAAGAGTGGGCAGTGGGGGACAGGATCGCCCCTCGTGAGAACCACTGAAGTAGAAATAGCACACTCATGGCTGCTCCTGAGTGGGAGCAACCCTGAGGCCATTACACCCCTTTGGTAGTTTAGGACCTGGTGTGCTCCACAATGACCAAAACCAAGGATGCCATATCCTCTGGAGTAGCCAATGTGATGGACTCAGCTAAAGGTGTGGTCCAGGGAGGACTCAGCATGACCCAAGTGCCCTTGGGTAGGTTAAAAAATAAAGTTATTAACAATTCCCTGTGGCTTGAACCCAGTACTTGTTCCTGTACTTTTCATTCACTACTTTTCCAAACATTCATTCCCTTCACTTAGTTGAACACACATTTTAATGAGCAATTTGATCTCTTCACTATAACAGGGCAAACCAGGTTCATATTCTGCTAAAAATGAACAAAAATATTTAACTCAATGGCTTGCAGACCCCAAGGCAAAGGCACCTTGTCAAGGGTTCCAAAGGTATAAGAGACCTGCTCTCAGCAATGGGGAATCTATTCAATCGAAGGAGTAGTTTGATACTATGACAAAGCTTGTTGAGCCTGAGTCCTGGAAAACCATGGGAACATCAGAGATGGGCAGTGAGGACACGGGGCCTCTGGGTAACATATCCCACTCACCAGGCACGTCAGGAATCATGTGGGTAGAAGTCTGGGATGGGAAGTACCTCCCAGGTCTGCTCTTGAGCACACATATCCTTTCTCACCAGATGACCTCCGGGACAAAGGACCTGGTGTGCTCCACAATGACCAAAACCAAGGATGCCATATCCTCCGGAGTAGCCAATGTGATGGACTCAGCTAAAGGTGTGGTCCAGGGAGGACTCAGCATGACCCAACCTGTGCTCACAGGAACCAAGGATGCTGTGGCCAGCGGGGTCATGGGAGCAGTGGGCATAGCCAAAGGTGCCATTCAGACTGGTGTGGACACCACTAAGACGGTCCTGACTGGCACCAAAGACACCGTGTCCACTGGCCTCACAGGGGCAATGAATGTGGCCAAGGGCACCGTCCAAACCGGCGTGGACACCACCAAGACGGTCCTGACCGGCACCAAAGACACAGTGTCCACTGGCCTCACTGGGGCAATGAATGTGGCCAAGGGCGCCGTCCAAACCGGCGTGGACACCACCAAGACGGTCTTGACTGGCACCAAAGACACAGTGTCCACTGGCCTCACCGGGGCAATGAATGTGGCCAAAAGTGCTGTCCAGACCGGCATGGATACTTCCAAGACCGTTCTTACGGGAACCAAAGACACCGTATCCACTGGCCTCACAGGGGCAATGAATGTGGCCAAGGGCGCCGTCCAAACCGGCGTGGACACCACCAAGACGGTCCTGACCGGCACCAAAGACACAGTGTCCACTGGCCTCACCGGGGCAATGAATGTGGCCAAAAGTGCTGTCCAGACCGGCATGGATACTTCCAAGACCGTTCTTACGGGAACCAAAGACACAGTGTCCACTGGCCTCACTGGGGCAATGAATGTGGCCAAAAGTGCTGTCCAGACCGGCATGGATACTTCTAAGACCGTTCTTACGGGCACCAAAGACACAGTGTCCACTGGCCTCACCGGGGCAATGAATGTGGCCAAAAGTGCTGTCCAGACCGGCATGGATACTTCTAAGACCGTTCTTACGGGAACCAAAGACACAGTGTCCACTGGCCTCACTGGGGCAATGAATGTGGCCAAGGGTGCCGTCCAAACCGGGGTGGACACCACCAAGACGGTCCTGACTGGCACCAAAGACACAGTGTCCACTGGCCTCACCGGGGCAATGAATGTGGCCAAGGGCGCCGTCCAAACCGGGGTGGACACCACCAAGACGGTCCTGACTGGCACCAAAGACACAGTGTCCACTGGCCTCACCGGGGCAATGAATGTGGCCAAAAGTGCTGTCCAGACCGGCATGGATACTTCCAAGACCGTTCTTACGGGAACCAAAGACACAGTGTCCACTGGCCTCACTGGGGCAATGAATGTGGCCAAGAGTGCTGTCCAGACCGGCATGGATACTTCCAAGACCGTTCTTACGGGAACCAAAGACACAGTGGCCACTGGCCTTACAGGAGCAATGGGTGTGGCCAAGGGTGCCGTCCAAACCGGCGTGGACACCACCAAGACGGTCCTGACTGGCACCAAAGACACAGTGTCCACTGGCCTCACAGGAGCAATGGGCATCGCCAAGGGTGTTGCACAAACTGGCATGGACACCACCAAAACTGTTCTTACGGGAACCAAAGATACGGTGGCCACTGGCCTCACAGGAGCAATAGGCGTGGCCAAGGGTGTTGTCCAAACTGGCATGGACACCACCAAGACGGTCCTGACTGGCACCAAAGGCACCGTGTCCACTGGCCTCACCGGGGCAATGAATGTGGCCAAGGGTGTTGTCCAAACTGGCATGGACACCACCAAGACGGTCTTGACTGGCACCAAAGGCACTGTGTCCACTGGCCTCACTGGGGCAATGAATGTGGCCAAGGGGGCCGTCCAAACCGGCGTGGACACCACCAAGACGGTCCTGACTGGCACCAAAGACACAGTGGCCACTGGCCTCACTGGAGCAATGGGAGTGGCCAAGGGTGTCGTCCAGACAGGTATGGATACTTCCAAGACTGTACTTATGGGAGCCAAAGACACAGTGGCCACTGGCCTCACAGGAGCAATGGGTGTGGCCAAGGGCGCTGTCCAGACCGGCGTCGACACCACCAAGACGGTTCTGACTGGCACCAAAGACACTGTGTCCACTGGCCTTACAGGAGCAATGGGTGTGGCCAAGGGCGCTGTCCAGACCGGCGTCGACACCACCAAGACGGTCCTGACTGGCACCAAAGACACAGTGGCCACTGGCCTTACAGGAGCAATGGGTGTGGCCAAGGGCGCTGTCCAGACCGGTGTCGACACCACCAAGACGGTCCTGACTGGCACCAAAGACACAGTGGCCACTGGCCTCACAGGAGCAATGGGCGTGGCCAAGGGTGTCGTCCAGACCGGCATGGATACTTCCAAGACTGTACTTATGGGAGCCAAAGACACAGTGGCCACTGGTCTCACCGGAGCAATGAATGTGGCCAAAAGTGTCACACAAACTGGCATGGATACCACTAAGACGGTCTTGACTGGCACCAAGGACACAGTGGCCACTGGCCTCACAGGAGCAATGGGCGTGGCAAAAGGTGTTGCACAAACTGGCATGGACACCACCAAGACGGTCTTGACTGGCACCAAGGACACGGTGGCCACTGGCCTCACAGGAGCAATGGGCATGGCCAAAGGCGCCGTCCAAACTGGCGTGAACACCACCAAGACGGTCCTGACTGGCACCAAAGACACGGTGGCCACTGGCCTCACAGGAGCAATGGGCGTGGCCAAGGGTGTCGTCCAGACCAGCGTGGATACTTCCAAGACTGTACTTATGGGAGCCAAAGACACAGTGGCCACTGGTCTCACCGGAGCAATGAATGTGGCCAAAAGTGTCACACAAACTGGCATGGATACCACTAAGACGGTCTTGACTGGCACCAAGGACACAGTGGCCACTGGCCTCACAGGAGCAATGGGCGCGGCAAAAGGTGTTGCACAAACTGGCATGGACACCACCAAGACGGTCTTGACTGGCACCAAGGACACGGTGGCCACTGGCCTCACCGGGGCAATGAATGTGGCCAAGAGTGCTGTCCAGACTGGCATGGATACTTCTAAGACTGCTCTTATGGGAACCAAAGACACAGTGTCCACTGGCCTCACTGGGGCAATGAATGTGGCCAAGGGCGCCGTCCAAACTGGCATGGACACCACCAAGACGGTCCTGACTGGCACCAAAGGCACCGTGTCCACTGGCTTCACTGGGGCAATGAATGTGGCCAAGGGTGCTGTCCAAACTGGCGTGGACACTACCAAGACGGTCTTGACTGGCACCAAAGACACAGTGTCCATGGGCCTCACAGGAGCAATGGGTGTGGCCAAGGGTGCTGTCCAGACGGGCATGGACACCGCTAAGACAGTCCTGACTGGCACCAAAGACACAGTGTCTACTGGCCTCACTGGAGCAATGGGCGTGGCTAATGTTGCTGTCAAGACTGGTGTGGACACAACCAAGACCATCCTGACTGGCACCAAAGATATGGCGTCCACTGGCTTCACTGGGGCAATGGGCGTGGCCAAAGGTGCCGTCCAGAGTGGTGTGGGAACTGTACAGAACTGGTTACCTGGCTCTGAGGAAAGCTCCTATGCTGGATTCATCAATGACAGGGACCTGGACAAATGTAGGGAAGATATTATCCTGAGCCCCCAGGAGGCTGAATCTTACAGGGTCTCCCACCTCCCAAACACTCTATGTGCACACCAGGACCTTCCCAGAGAAGCCACCACCGACAGCCATGGCCTTCTTTCTACTGTATTAACATCCACACAAGGCACCAGCCTGGGCAAGGAAAATGCTGGGTGTGTAGCTACGACATGCAGCCATGAAGGTGTCATGGGTTTTACGACACTTCCGGATGAGCTGGAGGAACTGGGGGAGATCTTCCACCCTATGAATGCTGAGGAGCAAGGTGAAAATAAAATGGGCTGGGTCCCAGGTCCTAGTGAGGGCTTTTCATCTGTCCAATCCAAGACCCGGAGGCCTTTGGGCCTTCTGGTTGAGTAATCCCATCTTTCTTTGCAGCTCAGTTGGCGGCCTCTGAGCCTGAGCCCCGAGTACCCACAGCAGACCAGAGCAGCTACTTCGTGCGTCTGGGTGACCTGGCCCACAGCTTCCGCCAGCGAGCTTTCGAGCACACCCTGAGCCACCTGCAGCACGGCCAGTTCCAAGCCAGAGCCACACTGGCCCTGCTTGAGGATTCCTTCAGTCTGGTAAGTGTCTTCCCTGCATGGGGCACGATTCTCAAAACATCTCCCCATTGTCGTGCAGTGATCGAACATCTGCCAGCCACTAAGATCACCACACGCTGCTTTCACAGGGCTTGTGTCCCAGAGAGGGAGACAACCAAACCAAAAATAGCATTCCCCCCCCTTATCTGTGGGAAATACATTCCAAGACCCACTGCAGATGCCTGACACCACAGATAGTACCAAATCCTACATATACTATGGTTTTTCCTACATATACATACCTACGATAAAGCTTAATTTATAATGTAGGCACAGTGAAAGAGTAACAGTAATAATACTTAATGCCACATTAACATTGCTTTCATTGCAGTGTGATTGTTATTCCATTATACTGTAATGAAAGCAATGTTAATGTGGCATGAAGTAAAATAAAGGTGATTTAAACATGAGCACTGATACCCCAATAGTTGATCTGGTAGCCGAGACGCCTACTGTGCCTAAAAGGCAGTGGGGCATCTACAGTGTGGATACGCTGGACAAGGCGATGAGTCATGTCCCAGGCGGGACAGAGCGAGGCCACATAAGATTTCATGACTCTATTCGGAACAATGGGCTATTTAAAAATTATGTAGTTTATTTCTGGAATTTTCCATTTCATATTTTCAAATCATGGTTAACCTTGGGTACTGAAACTACTGAAAAGAGAAATGGAGAATAAGGAGGGAGTGCTATACCTCCAGACAACAGGGATGCGAAGGAAACAAGACAGCCACACGGAGAGGGTCTGGGCCAGGCAGGAGGGCATCCCTTTGGGCCACATTGTGTCTGCCAAGAGAACCATGCAGAACTGGGGGGAAGTGAGGGCTGTAAGAACAGAGTGCCCAGCCTTGGCTGGGTAGCTCAGTTGGTTAGTGTTGCCCTGATATACCAAGGTTGCAAGTTCAACACCCAGTCAGGGCACATACGAGAGTTAACAAATGACTGCATAAATAGGTGAAACAACAAATCAATGTTTCTCTCTCTAAAAAGAGAAGTGTGCTTAATAACAAGCTGGGTGTTCAAGGAGCAGAGAGGCAACCAGGGTTGACAGGGTGAAATGAAGGTGGGGACAGGGTAGCGGGGGCCCAGGGATCTAGGGTTCAGTGATATGCAGAGATTGGGATGAGGTGTCAGTGGGACATAAGGTCTCAGATGCCCTGGGGCAGACCACACAGACCATGGTGAGGTGTTAGTTTTATCTAACAGGCATTGGGGAGCCACAGGGGGTCCTTGAGCTGTGGGGTGACAAGATCCCAGTATCTTATTTGATTTCACTGAGGACCTCATTAGAATTTAGTATTATCGCCACTATGCAAAAGACAAGCCCATCATGGCACAGGTGGCTCTAAACTCGTAGCCTTGCAACCATGCCACACAAAGGTCTAGACACAAGGCTCCAGGCCAGGCTTGGGAGTGTGCACCCTGGCCCCTCCTGCTGCTCCGGGGGGAAAGTGTGTGAAAGGTCCCTGCCAAAAGCCATCATTTCTCTGCTGGGCTTTTCCAGATTGAAAAGGCCAAGCAGGCTCCAGGAGAGCCATGGCCAGATCCAGGTCTGAGAGGCAGAGTGGAAAAAGCCGGAATCCAAGAGGTATGTACAAAAGGCCAAGGCTCCCAGAATCTTCTGCTCTCTGACCCCTAGTCACCTCTCTCCTTCTTCCTGCAGATGCCAGAGTCGGAGACTTTGTCCAGAACCTGTGGACTCATCCAGCAGCTCCATGTAGCCTACAGCACCCTGGCCTCTGGCCTCCAAGGTCTTCCGGCTGAGTTCCAGCAGCGTGTGAGGCAAGCACGGCACAGCCTCTGTGAGCTCTATGGCATCGTCTCCTCTGCCAGCTCCATCGCAGAGCTGCCAGCTGAGCGCCTGGCCCAGAGCCGTGAGAGTGTAGGCCAGGCTTGGCAAGGGCTGGAAAAGCTGCTGGAGAGCGTGCAGCACAGCCCCCAACTCAGCTGGCTGGTGGGGCCCTTTGACTTGCACCCCGGTGGGCAGCAGCTGTAGGCCCCCTCAGAGCCTCTCCAGCCTCAAAACAGCCCCAACTCCCCAAGTTCTGGACCCTGCTGGCTGGCGCAAGGAGGACTTTGTGCATTAAATGCGCCATGCTCCCAGCTCTGAGACTGTGCCATCCACCTTTCTTCCCAAGCTCAGCTGGACCTAGGAGCCCGGGGCTTCTAAGACCATTAACAGAGGGTCTGCACTTGAAAATCCTGAGCAAGCACTCCAATTAGGGAAGAGAAGTGAAATGTGCCTGAGTCTGGAAGATTCTCCATTCAGTATCCGCCCACCCAAGAACCCCATTATCTTTGCAGGGGGCAGGGGTCTTCCACCCTAGTCTGGGCCTTCAGCTACCACCTTAGCGGGTTGTCCTGCTCCTCCACCCTCACTTTAAAGCATCTACCCTGGTCCTTAGCAAGCACCTTGCACCAGAATACAGCAGAATGCCACTGTCATCCTGAGGCAGGGTCCCACTGCCTCTGCTAACCCCAGTGTGGCTAAATGAAGGGGCTTCCTGAGGACACAGCCACCAGCAGCAACTCCACTCCAGGCTTTGCAGGGTCCTTCCTTGAGGACTACATTGCTCAGAGGGTGAGAAGTGTGGTTACAAATCAAGCCCGTTCCTGTCTCTTCCACTCACCCACCTGTCCTGCCCTGTAGGCCAATCACATGATCAGAACTGAGATTCTGGTCTCTGAGACACCTGGGCCCAGAGGCTGCTCATGCCTAATAAAAGGACTTTTCCACTGGGGACAGGGCCCTAGGGTGTATGTGACAAAATGTGCTGAATGATCTTCCAGGTCTCGGAAATGTACCCCAGGCTGGAGACTAGGTTTCCTGCAATGGTTTGGGAGTGTCCCTGCCTTTCCTGGCACAGAGGTCCAAGCCCACAGCCCCTGCACCCAAATATGAAACCTCATAATGTCTGTGCAAGAAACACTCCCTCACTAGCCTCGGCCTTGCTTCAGCTGGGAGCTGTACATCAGAACCGCAGCAGCCCACCCAAGCTGTGCTGAGCTCCCACCTTCCCAAAACCCACACCACACCAACAGTGCACCCCTACACTGCACCATCTTCTCAGAAATGATCAGGGGCTCTGAGCTCAAGGACAAATGGGCCAGCTCTCTTCAAGGGTTACCAAATGCCTCCAGGGTCTGTGAGACGCTCTGTCCTGGGAAGCGGGGGGAACCTTCTGAACCTTCTGAGGCTTTCTTTCCTCAGCCTCCATCATGTTAGGTTATCAGAGGTAAAGACACTGGCATTTGCAGAAACCCAGCGAAGTGACTTGATTTCAAGTCCAGTCAAACCAATAGGGGGTGGCTGTGGAATTGGGCAGGACTCAAGAAGTCTCCTGCCACACCATGGTCTCCCTCCCTCTCAGCCAGGGGCCACTGTTTTACCTGACACTGCTGTGTGCGGGTGCCTGGCTGAGAGCTACACGCATCCCTTACCCAAACCCACAAGGCAGCCCTGTGAGGCTGGAGTCATCCCCCGTCCAGGTGAGAAAAGAGACACCCAGAGTGGGAGTGCCGCTTGCCCAAGGTCACACAGTGAGGGCTGCCCCCAGTGCTTGGCCTCTGAACATGTGAAGACAATGGATGGCTCACAGAGCCCCTCCTGGCCTAAACCCGGTGCCATGCACTGTGGGTCTCACTTTGTGGAGATGCAGTGCCAAGTTGCAGCTTTGGCGAGAGGGAAAACAGCTGAGTCAGTTGAGCAAGGCAGTGGCTTCTGGGGAAAACACGGTGGCCGCCTGGCCTCTTTGCTCCTTCTTCCTGGGCACTGGGAAGCCAAACCCAGGACATCAAACCACAGCCTCCATTTGAGCCTCAAAGTTCAGAGTTTTATTTTTCCTTTATTATTTTTGGAAAGGCCTTGTTCCTAACCCACTGTTTCACTGCCAGCCCTAGTGGGCTGGGAACACCATTAAAACCAAGCTCACATTCACTGAATATGGTGACACTGTGGTTTAAAATACTTTGTCCCCAAATGGGCCCTTAATAGCTACAGACCTCTCCCCAATTCCAGCCCAGCTGCACCAGTAACACTAGAAAACCAAGCCAATAAAAGTGATTTTTTTTTCATTAAAAAAACCCTTTATAGTCATTTCATGTCAGTTGGAAATCACAGAAATTGGGCAGAAAAAAAACCCCAAGAGGGACAAATACAAATGAAGAGCACGGCATCTCCCCAACAGTTCTCTGCTCCCTGGGCGGCCGGGAAGGGACAGGGCAGGCCTACAGGCATCTACATGACGGGCGGGGCCTGGCCGCCGGGCTGCCCGGGGCTCAGCTGTCCTCGTCGTCCAGGGACTCAGAGTCCACGTGCGCCCTCGGGCGCTCCTGCCGGTCCTTCCCAGGCCCATCCAGATCGGGGCCCTCCCTTGCACTGCTGGTGAAGCACAGCACGGTGGGGTGAGCGGACTGCCTTCCTGTCTGTCCATCTATCTCCCTCTATCAGTGAGAGACTGAAAGCCTGAGGCTCCCCCCGCCATGCCCAGCACAGTGGGTGTGCGTTGAATGGTCTGGGGTTTTCAGCACGACCACACACCGGAGTCAAGGGTGCTTGTGAAAGAGGCTGCCTGTTCCCACTCCCGGAGAGTCAGGAGGAAACCACTGTCCCTAGGGCCTCAGGGCAGCTCAGCTCCCCTAACTATAGGGGTCCTGGGGTCTGTTGCTAAGGTGGGGGACAGGAGGCTAACACATGGGGGCCAAGTCCCTGGGACACTGACAAGTATGAGCAGCCCACTGGGAGCAACTCAGACATCAGGTGCTTTCTCGGCAAGTCTCACCCCCCACCTTTCAGAAAGTAACCCCCAGTGCTACAGATCCCAGGGACACTTACTCATTGTGTAACAGGTCTTCGGAGGAGCCCCCCACTGGCCCCTCTTCTGAGTTCTGTCCTTCCTCTTGCTCCTTGTCCTCCGTGCTCCCACCTTTCTCGGATGTGGCCTCACCATTCACTGAGGCTGAGAGATCTGAGGGAGTTGGGGGGTGGAAAGTGGTTTTGGGACACTGTGGCCCTATCATCCAGGACCCCTGTCCCCTTCCATTGACAGCGGGTGGGAAAGCAAGCCAGCTTTGGGACAGAGGACCCGTGACCCTCCCGGAGGGCCCTGGCTCTATGCTTCCACAGTCACTACCTCCCTGCCTCCCAGTCCCATGGGGACTGTCGGCTCCATCAGGCCGGGGCTGGCTGCAGCGCTTCCGGCAGGCAGCCTGGGCCCCTGAGGAAGGGAGGGGCCAGTTAATGAGTGTCCAAGGCTGGGGCAGGAATAAGGAGAAAGACGTCCCCTCTGGGCTATATCCTTGGGCTGCTGAGGCTTCTTCAGCCAAGCCAGCTTGATGCCAGTGTGAAGGGCCGCTCCAAGCATCTGTCACCAGGACCAGGTGACTGCAGCATGAACCCCTCCCACTCCCAGAGGCTGTCCCTGCTACAAATGTCTTCTTTCTTCTCTCAGATCATCCATGACCCTCGAGGTCCAGCCTGAGGCCGGCGCCTCCCCAGAGCACTCACACACACCTGGCCAGCACACACACACAGCCTCCTACACTCTCTGGCTCGGAGGGCTCAGAGCTCATCACCCGCATAGGTATGTGCATGTACCAGGCACCAGCTGCCTTGCGGGTCACAGCCAGGCCTGCGCAGACAGCACCAGCAGGGTGCACCACCCAAGTCACCTGGGGAGGAGCCCACCCAGCTCCTCACCCGCACTGGCCTCATCCTCCGCCCTCTCTGACGGGGCCTCCTCTCCAACCAGAGCTTCCTCGGCCTTCTCTGCTTCAGTCTGCTCCTTTTCCGCTCCAGTTCTGGCCGCCTTCTGGATGGCCTCAATCTTTGGTCCCAGGACCCGTGACTTGAGCCGGGTGTAGACTTCCGCGGCCTTCTCCATCACCTCCTTGTTGGCCTTGTAACGGCGAATCTGCCCCGCAAGAAGCCTGGCTCAGAGAGAGCAGCCCTCCTACCCCGAGACCCTCCCTATTGCTGCCACCACCTCAGCACCTCCCCTGGAAACTGGTACTGCCCACCGGCTTTCTCCCCACCGACTTTCTCCCCACCGACCAAAAGTGGCTGTGGCCAGGAATGCCGGCTCCCTGGTAGACCCCTGCCTGCTTGGACCCACCTTTCCCTAGCCCCCTTCCACCCCTGGGCTCCAATTGTACCTTTTTCAACGTGGCCACCACATCAGTGTTCTTTTGGAGGATGTGTGAGGTCACCTGCAGGGTCCCAAGCTCCTCTAGTGCATTCAAACACCTCTTCACATCCTGCAGGATGGAAAAGAAAGCAGGAGGGGCAGCACTTAGCACATCCGATGGGTCAGAGGATACCCTGGAGCTTCCCCTGTGGGGAGGGCTAAGTGATAGGGAACCCCAGGGACCACGGAAAGACCCAGACTTGGAGGATCCTTGGGGCCTGCCCATAGTGCCACCTGGTAGGGATATCAAGCACACTGTGCCTCAGGATGACCCTCAACTGGGAGACACATAGTAGACACAACGACCCCTGCCCCACCCACCCCGAAGGACCCTGGAGTCACCTCAATTTCTGGAGACTTCTAAGGGAGCTGTAGACATGATGGGGTGGCAGGAACTGCTTCACCCAGGGAAAGTGGCTCCCCGTGGCCCCAAGCAGAGTCTTACCGGATTATCAACTTTCAGAGCATACTTGATCTCGCTGTGCAGCTTCTGAAGCTTCTCCTCCACGGAAGGTTCTGTGGCCAGGAGAGAATGCATCGCCTGGGCCTAAGCCCCCACACCCAGGCGTGGCCAAGAACCTGCCTGAGCACTGCTGTGGTGACAGAAGCAACCGTCCCTCCTCCCGACCTCAGCAACCTCGGGCTGCAGGCTGCAAGAGCTTCGGCAGCGACCGGGACAGCTGGTCCCTCACCTTTCTTCTTCTCAACCTTCCGGTCTGGTGGGAACCCTTCTGACCGCTTCCGGGTTCGTTCCACCTTCATGGGCCTGTGAAGACTCATTCCTCTTAGGCCTCTGATCAATATCCACGAGGCCACCCTGCCCCAACCACCAACATCCTCCTGACCAAGGGCTGGAAACTACAGAAGGAAACCTTTGGGAGGCCCTGGAAGCTGGGAGGAGTCAGGGACCATTGTGACCTGGTCTAAGATAGGTACCTGAGACAAATCATGCGAAATCCCAAAATTCTTTTTTATATGTGGCTGAGAATTAGTAGCTGGGTATGTAAAATTTAGTGGATGAGTTATTAAAAGGCACTCATAGATGACAGCAACACTCGTTAACACAGTTCTGGTTCTACACTCTCCTGGGCAGTCTGGCTGCCAAGTTCCCAGTGGCCAGATTCCAACCACAATCTAACTTGAAATATAACTTGAAAGTGGTGGGTAGCTCAAATGGTTAGAGTGTCATCCCAATACACCAAGATGTGTGTTTGATCCTGAGTCAGGGCGCATATAAGAATCAACAAATGAACACACATGTAAGTGCAATAACAAATCGATGTTTCTCTCACAAATCAACAAAATTTTTTTGGAATGGCATAAATGCACCACCCCCACATCTCGGTGGGCCATGGACTTAAAATTAAAAAGCCTGGGAACCACTGGTCTGGGGACAGCTCCCCCCTTCTGCCCTAACACAGGGGCTGGACCATGCTCTGCGGGAGGCCATCCTGGGCACTGTGGGATGAGGAGCAGCATCCCTGGCTCCCACCGACTCGATGTCAGGAACACCCCAGTCAAGGACCTGAACAGGGGACACTTCAAATAGATCTATCAAGCTAAATTTGGAAGCTGGGTCCCTCTT